AGATTTCAGATTAAAAAAAAACAAAAAATAAGATAACTCGATTTTACATTTTCGACGTTAAGAAAGTTTGTGAAAAGAGATCTTAGTTCGTTTTGCGACCTCAGATGCCAAAAGGGCTTTGAAGCAAGGAGCAAAAGAATCTTTCTAAAAACTAATGGGAAGCTTTTTAGCGCGACTCACAACCCAAACATGAAAAATCAACGAGGACATCACCACTCCTATACTGTGTGTTCGTTACTACCGAATTGTGAAAATCTGGGCCTAGGAGGGTCTCAATTAGCGACCCTATGTCTTTCCAGGATCTTAAACTAAGAAGAGCTATGGAACGGCCACTGAAAGTACAGGCTAATGATCCATGAGTGGGAGCAGCTGCAGAGCCTCACCATTTTACCGCTACAGTACCCTCGGCACCGCCAGTGAGCTTTAACTGATTTAATGCATTTAATCCTATTTGTTTATTCACTTACGGCTTACAGTTTTACTATCAAAACATAATACTGAGAATTTGTGCATGGCCCGCATTCTTTCCAAACACAATGGAAACTATCAACCTTTTTGCGATAGTAATACGACGTACGGTAGTCTGCAAAATCGCGTACATGTGTTCCACGCGAGGATGACTTTGAAGTGCAGGTGGTTTTATTTTCATTAGATTTTCATTTTTCATTTGTGTCACAGCTAAGTCTCGTACTACTGCTAAAATGTTGTTGATTAAAATATGTTGGCAATTGAGCCTCACTTTGTAAGCTTGGCATTTCTTAGATCGTTGTGGGTTACCTCGCAGTGCTCACCAATCTCATGCTGTTCGTGAGTGCGCAAAAAGTACTCGTTTCAGCGAAGACTCCTAAAATTTGATAGATGTCCGGGAATGACGACGCGGACGCGATGGAGATCAACGAGTTCGGTTTGAAAAATGCGACTACCATTGGATTGATTGACCAAGATGTGGTGAGTGAATGTTTTTCAACCGTTATCGCGGACGTAGTGGGCGTTTTGCGTGTAGAAGTGGTGCTGTAAAGGCTTGCATCGGGATTCACTCACCACCAATAGCGCTGGACGCTTTTGACGAACTTGTAAAGATTTGAAAAACTCTTGTATTTCTCCTTATTTGGGGTTTTTTGGCATCAAGTTAGCAGGTTCCGCAAAGAGCAGCATAAGCGTAAGGCGCATACTCTGCTACGGGAATATAAGAGAATGTGAGGTCGGCGATTCAACATTCTACGTAGATGCGCGCCAATGTAAAGTGTAGGTATCGATCTGGTGACCTGCGATAATCGGCTATTCGACGATCGGGAACAGGTCCGCTGTAATGGGGGAAGTGGCGAAAAAGCGGAGTTAAACGGTCAAAAATCTATGGAAAAACCACTGTTCTGCATGGCACTGGGCAACCATTTTGGACCAGTTTTCCGTTGGCATCGCGTCAACCACCGTCTTGATAGATACGGCTGCACGTATGTATTCATATATCCATGTAGCAACGCTTCATATCAATTGTACTCCATAAGTGAAAGGATAAGAGTACCAGCGTCAGATGAATATGCGAACATTGGGCGGGCGGTTGCGGTGGGCGTCTGGGTCGGCATGTAATACCTTGGTTAAGCGCTCTAACTTGGTGTCTCTGGTTCGAAAAGGTGCCACGCGGCGCTCGCTAAGGGACACAAAATTCTTTCGGGCTGAATCCACCCTTTACGCCCTGTCGATTTTTCGTCCCACTTTTCTTTGAAAGAACTTCGCGAGAAAGGAAGCTGAGTACAAGAGATGATGCACGGGAGGTAGTTTACAACATGCCACAAAAACCAGACTAATTGATCGACCTTTCTCTTAAGTGTGTGCCCCGCCAGCGCTAATGTCCCAATAACACAACCACAGAAAAGTGGCTCCTCTATGCTGTCTCACTTTGTCAGTGGCGGGCTTTTCACAATACAAATGCCAACGGGCATTGCTCCATACACATTGTTCGGGGAGCCAGAGGAAAGTGCTGCTTTCAGAATCGTATCATAGCTCATTTCGCAGTCGATAGCTCTCGATTTAGCATGATCAATACAGGTTTCCTTTCGCTTAAGGTCTTTCTTCAGTGGGAAGGAGTCACCCATAGCATGGCACAGTAAGAAGAGAGGGAAAGGACGAGTTCAGGTCTTCTTTGTAGATGTAAAAGACCAAGAATTGGAGCTTTCACTATGAACTAGAGTCGGCTGGGGAAGCGGGATAGCCAGGTTGGGTTTTATTAGCGCCACTCCGTTCAACATTCCGTCTTCAAAGGCACGCCCCTTCTCGAAAAATGGTGAGCCTTGCTGTTCAAATAGTTATTAAAAGATGGTAAATGACACAAAGTGAAGAAGAAAAGAAAAAAAAAAACCGACAGAAGTGTTTCATAGGGTAACCCCATGCTTTCATCTGGGGATAACAGGCGAAACGGACCACCTGTGTTTTGCAGTGTTTTCTTCTTCCAATATTTTTTCTGTTTTTTCTAATTAATCGCGCTTGTAATTGAATAAGGCAAAGAAAGGGCGTGGTCGGATGAGTTCTCACTTGTTGGTGCTAGCTCTTTCTCCTCATCACTCATTCTCACCGATCGAAATGGAGACACTAGTATTGGAACAATCGCACCATCAGGAAGCCGCTGGAAAAAGTTGGGCTTGCCGGTCAGTGGGCGGGACCCAGGGCACAGCGTTCGATGGGGATCATGCTCTATGGGGCTCGTATGAGGCCGCAAAAAGGGAGGGGGGTCGTATTTGGGCTGGGAAAAATTTATTTTTATAGTTGATTTTTCTCGCTTGCGGACGTTTTGGAGGGGGGGTCGTAATTTGGTCGTTGTTGGGGGGGGTCGTATTTCTGTCTAGGAGTTACGTGGTTTACTTCATGAGTTTTATGAATTTTCTGTGTTATAGGTTATGTACCCCCTTTTTTTGCAGGGGCATTCTAACGACTCCCTCCTCCCGTGAAACATATTCGCACGAGTATTAAACAACCAGAGGATGGCGAGCGTACATCGTACGAGCATTGGAGGGTTGGGTCGTAGCAGCCGCCTGAAAAAGGGGGGGTGCTCGACCAAAATCCCCATCGAATGCTGTGCCCTGGCGGGACCGTAGCCTCGTCGCATGTAGTTCGCGCTTCCCCCACGAGCTGCGAAGGAAGTACGTCCTCCATGCTTGCGGACAGGACTCCCTTGTTCAAAAAAGGCGTCTGAACATCTCATTAACGACCTTTAAATCATGGTACTCGCTGCACCACTTCGACCGGAACGTGGAGTTCACACCACTACCCGACCCTTTGGTGGTTTCTTCCTGTGAATATGTGCGACCAAGGTGGAGGAACGGCCGATGAACCCTTGACTTTCTCTTGTCATAGCATAGATCAACTAGAATATGCAGGTGGTAGCAATACCTGATTTCCAGTGAGGTTCCAAGAACCAAGTTGTAGCTGGGGGGGGGGGGGCTGGGGGTAGGGCGAGCAGTTCTCGCGTACAGAGATCGACCTCCTGTCGTTGTCGCCATAGATTCTGGCGGTAAACTGTTCCCTTTGGAGCAGCGAGGAAAAGGGAGATGGTAAACATCCCGATTGTTGCTCTGTTGCAATTTAAATTTCAAAAGTTATTAATAGCTAATAATCGTAATACTACGGTAAAGCTTCTGCTAAATTAGACTGTTATTCCCTTTGTTTCGATTCGATCACGGCAGACTCACGCTACGTGAGTGCGTGTTCCTGTGTTTAACAGTGACTGTTTTAGCTAGAAAATAACATTTTTCATTCTAGGAAGCCGCACAGTTCAAGTCTGATCGGGTTCGGAGTCTTGTGTTGCGGGTGCTGGGGGTCGGCGAAACAGTGGCCCCAGAGTTCGCTTTGCAGAATGCATTAGTGTCCGAATGCAACGTGAGGATCTCTGAAACGGATCTATTGGACTTAAGTAAGTGTTCAAATGAGTTCTGTCATTATCACAAGGAGTGTATTCATACTTCGCGACTGGTCGCTCGCATCGCGACAAATTGCTGAGTATGTACATGCTAGAGAATGTTTGCAAATCTAATTTTCAGCCGCATATAGAAGTTCCATCCATGATCTGATATTTACTCTTGTGTCATCTATTGCCTCCACTTCTGAAGTGGCCATGGAGGTTGACTCAGGTAGTTTTCTCCATCTTATGAATCCAAGCTGTGCAACTGGCAAAATTCCTAATATATAGACTCGTTCTGCGAATGATGGGGCGTTTCAGTAAGGCTGGCTTTGGAGCGCCGCCAACCTGTTCTTCCCTAGTTGAAGCGGGTAAGCGATAGCAACTCGTGGAAAACGACTTATGTGAACAACATGGTGCATTCTTATCTCTCACCGAAAGAAAAAAAAGGAACGGGCTGGCGCTGAACCCATCCTGCTTTGATAAGCCCCATAATCCGCAGCGAACAAGACCCTAGTGATTCTCGTAGTGGTCGGTCCTGGAGGGGGCACGCGGTAAGGTCCTTCCTTTCGCTCGGCTGTGCACGGACTGTGGTCGTTAGTGCTTCTCTGGAGCTGGCCGTCAGAAGGGAAGGGACAATCCTTCAACTACAGCCCTGAAGGCGTTCTTAGGCGCAGTGCGGCGACGGACGGGGAGGGACATTTTACACTTTCGCTGCTTTACTATTTCGGTTAACAAGTATTGCTCTAGTGTTCAATTCTGGCTACCACAAAACGGCATATTCTTTGCAGAAGATTCCCTGGGATCTATTCTTTTTATACCTGAATTGGACAAAATTGGAAGTACAAAGGAAGCAATGGCTTTGAATTACTTGATGTCTACATATAGTCGTTTGAATACAGAGAGTCGTAATGAGGTAGGCTTTTACTGAAGTAGTCAGCTCTACATTTCGAACGTTGTTACTTTTTATAATGCTCTCGTGCCATTCAGTTTTCCAAGACTTCGAAAAGCAGATGTGCTTAGATCTTCGTGAATTAGTGTTGTCGAATATTGTTATTCTTCTTCGCGGGTACTACGAGCCTTTGTAAGTGGTTTAGTCCGTATCATTTGCTTTTACTGGCAGAGGGTCAAGACAATCGTATTTTGCTGCTACTACTCGCGCGCGGCAATAGATGCGGCATTTTTTTCTCTAAGATTGAGTAGCTCTCTAGCGGAGCACCTATTCATGCCACGACACGACAGTGTTTCATGGCTATTTTTGATTGTGCTTATGTCTAATGTGGCGAATCTCTGCTAAAACGTCGTCTTGCAGAAGTCGGACTGCGAAGCCCTTAAGCGGGCGAAATTACGAGTGCTCTTTATCAATATTTCGCCTTGTCAATCGACCAATCATAATAATAATACAGAGTACAAAGAAACTTCTTTTTAGCAGTCGGGCAAACTTGCACGTTCATCCGTCTGTCTGTCTCACTATAGTTCAAATCTTGTATCAAACACACTTTTGAGTGATATCATCTCTCATTGTACTAATAGAACGCTGTGCGATGAGAATGCCCTTTCCGAGGTAATTTGATAGAAAGATTTAGGTTTTTTTCCCCGATCTTATTATGAAGACATCTTCTTTCTCATTAATCCGGTTTAAAAAAAAATTTCTGTATTAGGTTGCGGCGAAAATTCTGTGCATCACTTTTTTGCCCAAGTATCGCCTATTACATTGAAAGGGCATAAACTGGTAAGTGAGCGTTAACATAAGGACTGCCCTCATGCAGTGCACTGGCCTCGTCCTGTCATCCTTAATTCTGCATTATGGACAAGAATGTTATCCGCTACATTCATACACACCCCTTCAGGCGCTTTCCTTAAACTATTTCTTCTACCACCCTGGCGCCAGCATGGCAGCTGTCGACGCCGAAATAATGGAGCTGCACCAGGCGAATGTCTACAGTCATCAGACAATCTTTCCACGACGCTAGCTCTTCAGAGCGGGAGCCTACGGTTCGAATGACGAAGTGAGGTTCGGGAGTACCTGTAAACTCAGCTTTGAGTAGCGGTGGGTCGGAACACTGGGATAAGAAGCTGCCCTCCCTCGGTCACTCCGCACGCAAGGCAGCTACGAGATTGCAAGCATACGTTCAAGCAGAGCAGACTCCCATCCGCAAGTCCGTCTTCACGTGCTGGTGCAAGCCCCCGTCAAAAAAAAGTTCGAGCCGTCCTTCATGCAATAAGCTGGTGCTCTCCCTTGCCCGGTGGTGGTCCAGACTTTCACTTCGACTCGCTAGTCGGCTCCCGTACTTCAGTCGTTTACACAGCCGAGAATACTCCACGACTTAGAGCCCAAGTCAAGTTGAAGATGTGTCCAACTTTGCGTCACGAGGCGTGCATATTTAAGCGTTAGCCGATGGCACAACAGAACTGTTCCCAAAAACGCAAGATCTCTCATAAACATTGCTGTATAATTTTGATCTTGTACGCCTCTCTGTAAAAAGAAAGTCTAATTTGAAAAAATGTGACAGAACTTTCCCGCCAACCTAATATGGTCTATTGGAATGTAGCCTCAAGAGTTCTTCAGTGGTGTCGTTGATCAGCAAGGCAGTGCAATGAAGAGCTCGGCTGCAATGCGGTCATACTAGAATACATGCCTTAGTGAACTGACCCTTCCGAGTTTCATTTGCTCGCATGCATCTAGTTTTCACATCAGAAATTAGACTAGGAAATATAAACTCCAAAAAAATTATATGATTCCGTAAAAGTTATGTGTCGAAGGACAATGACGCTCGTCCAAAGACATACTGCGCGCTGACCTCATTGGGCGGGCTCACTTGGCCAAAAACGTCCTCGTGGTCGCGTCTTCTAGTTCGTACGAACTGCGATCCATCGCTAATTCATTGGCAGTTGCAATTAATAGTTCAGCCTTGTTGAGGGTAAAGATTTTTTTGGATTAAGGTGGAGCGCGGTCTGTCGCAGTGGTCCAACTCCCGCATCACCTGAACCGCCATGTATGGAAGCGGGCTGATGGGTCCATCCTGGCAAGGCGATGAAGAGATTCATGGGGCAGTGGCTTTAGTCTCTCCGCTATAGCAACAACTCGGGATGTGCCCTTCAAGTACTGGGCAAATCTAGGTAAAAAGAAACTGAAGCGAAGGTGGCGTAGTGGCAAACTGAAGCGAAGGTGGCGTAGTGGCAAGTAACACGCATTGCACGCGAGCGGTCTAGGGATCAAATCCTGGATCGGCTCCCACCATTTGAGGCAAGCCTTCTACCCTCCGGGGACAGCAAATTGTTACAAGATACGGGGAGACCGGCAAGAGAATCGTTATTTGCCGCTCTGCCGCGCGCGGCCATAAGCGCGGCGTTTTCTTCACTCGTGTTAACCTGTCGATTAGAGCACCGGACATCATGTAGACCCTGTTATCGTAGACATTCATGACTATTTCCGGTTCTGAATTGCTTACCGGAGCCATCGTCATTTGCGGGCGCGACGTCGCACGCGCCGCCCACCAGCGCGGTGAATTACGATTCTCCTGTCACATACCCCCAGATACGAGAAAGATAAGGACACAGCCTTGTACGTGGCTGCCCGATTCATTATATAGGCCATATCGCATTCACTAAGCCACTACGATTCTGAATGGAATTAAAATGCGTGCCGCATCGCAAAAGGGGTTAATCAGCGACGAAAATTTATCCTTTATCCTTTTAAGGCGTAAAACTTATGGAGTGTCCTTGAAAGTTGTCTTTTTGTTAACTTTAAGATGTTTCTCTTAGGTGTTCAATCCGATTCTTACACAGCAAAGGGATTCAATGATATATCAGCACATGATGACTAATCGGGATGATTGTGTACATTTGTTGTTTCGCGCTGTAATTCAGTTGGTGTCCGTTCGAGTCGATGGCAACAAACGACCAATCGCCGATTTGGTAAGCATTTTTGGGGGAGCAAGAAGTTTACCGAATTTTCCTTGTAAAAAATAAGTGTGTCTACAGATGGTCAATCGTCCCGACTTTCTTACCAGAGCTCGTCACCAATATCACGGGTCGCGAAATCGCTCACCTTTCCTACCTCGGCCCATTTCTTGGTTACGGGATTCCATGTGATGAATTTGTTGTAAGTTCAATAGGGATCATTGGGAGGAGCTGCTGATGTAATCTATCGTTTAGAGCCCTATCGCGAGCAGATTTTTTGGTGTAACAGAAGCTCCAAAAGATGGAGTCAATATGATGTATGAAAGCTATCGGCGACGGTTCGAGACTACTAGAGTGAGTTTAACTTCCGCTCGAAACAGTGTTACTATGAGAGTTTACAAACTGAATCGGTTCTAATTTAGTCTCTAATGCACCAAATTATTCATCAATTGGTTGCAAATGCATCATCTCGTGGACGTTGTCTTGACTACTTTGCGGCAGTTGTCAAATAGAACGAGAAACGTGCACAACTCAGAGTGGGCTGATTTTCACGATTTGATTCTTTTACTTTCCCCCGAAATTTGCTTCTCACAACTTATTACAGGCGGACTTTGCCACACTTGCTTCACACACTTACGTTGTAAATCTGATGTGTGTGCTGTTTGAACTGTCGTCGAAAATAGATTTGTCCAAGGTTAGTTGACTTTCTATCACAACTTTTGTAGCTTAATGTAAGGGTAATATAAGTGGGGTAAGGGTATTGTAAGGGTTAAAGACACATGGTACGGTCACACATAGTTTGGGTGTGCGTGACTATCAGCCCCCCCCCCCCAGCTGTCGAAGCGTAGCGGTTTCCCCGTCCTAACATGCGCAGGAATGGAGATACAGGACCGTGAAACACGCTAATTCCTCCATGCTCCGCCCAATGCCTTTTGCGGCGCAGACTCCCGTTCATGCTAACAGCCGTCCGCGCGGCGCGTGTCGCGCGCAGCGCTCTTGGCACTTTGCCAAGTCCTGTAATTGCGCTTTGGAATACAAAACGCAATTTCCTGATGCGGATAACATTTTAGGTGCTGCAAAATAAGAACCGAAGATGATGACGAGGGCCAGAACTCAAGAGCAACTGTGCTGCTTCTGCAATATCCCTGTGGCTGTGCATTCCCACAAAACAGAAAATAAAAAACGCCCGCCCAAAATAAAAGACGGCCTGAGGGCCACTCTTAGTATTCAAGAATTTTCTACGTCTTCGGTAGGCCGAGAAGTCGCGCGCGCATTTCAAGAAATTCTTACGCGATTTTAATTGAATTGCAATCTTCTTTTTTCCATTTAGTTTATATTGATGCACTTTGCCATTGTGTTCTTCATTTCCTAGCCTTGTTCATCTTCATGCACGTTCTATTCCGGCTTGTGCAGATGATGCAACACACCTCAATGTCACTCGCATCAGGACAATGCGTTTCTACCCTGATATTCCGAACCATGCGCAATCCACACGGACTTGCAACCAGTAGCCGACGAGTTCCCTGCACACGAACCACCGCCCGCCGCGGCCATGTTAGCATAAACGGGAGTCTGCGCCGCAAAGGCATTGGGCGGAGCATGGAGGAATTAGCGTGTTTCACGGTCCACGGTCCTGTATCTCCATTCCTGCGCATGTTAGGACGGGGAAACCGCTACGCTTCGACAGCTGGGGGCTGATAGTCACACACACACCCAAACTATGTGTGATCGTACCATGTGTCTTTAACAAACGCCCTATAAATCTGCTATAAAGACAAACTGTGCACTTATCCCTATATATCCTGGTCCTGACTACGTGTGGGAAGAAAATCAGGATCATCGCTTGTTCCATTACAGGTAAATCAGATGTATCCGTTCCAAAAGAATACTCGTGTGGATATTGTGGAAAAAACTCGCCTCAAAGTGGATCTTCAGGGAGCCAAAGAGTTCGCAGAGAAAATAAGTTCGTGAAGCTTTCCTTGTTTTGTCCTAATTAAAGCAGTAGTCTGCAGAAGCAAGCCATTTGAACTCAGGCATGCTCCCAAAGTGTAATTCCTTCGTTTAGCTACTACCGGTGAGGACAAGTTCACGACGGAATGTTTTTTCCTCACTATGCAGTTCGAAAACATCTGCCTCCAACCTGCAGTGAACCGTTTGCGTAGTCTTCGGAGACATATTGCTGATGTTCGCGAACAGATTCGGGTAGGTTTACATGCAGTTAGTTGACGAATGCTTCGAAAACGTGAAAAGGATGCCTTTGCTCTAAGTGCCCAATTCACAGCCCCGTGTGCTGCGCCAACAGAAGAGCTAAATTTGACTTCCTGCATTCTTTTAGGAACTGCAAGAACAACTATCACGTCTGCCAGATGGACTGTTTTCCGAACATGAGAAGAATAGAATTAACCACAAAATTAAAGCACGCACTGAACAGAAACTGGTAAGTGTGAAACTTTCAATACCTTTGGTTTTGGCCGTCTTTTGGTAAGCATTGGCAACTATCCACTAGCATTTCGCATGTAATATGCACGCGCTTTTGATGCGGTAGCAATAAATTGCACGGACTCGTTCTTTCCTCCTAAAAATTCTGGTCGATTGTGTTCTGACTCGAGCCATGGATTGCGATTTTCGAGAAGGCACTACTGGACATGGGCGAGGATGGCGTAGTGGCAAACGGTGCTTAGGTTGGGTATTATGCGCCTTTTCAAAGTCAACGCTCTGTCTCGAGTCGAATCCTTCTCGAAACAGCCCTATCGCGGTTTTATCAACGCACCTGCACTTCGTCTCCGGAATCTTTATCCTGAACCGCGGGAGGAAAACTGACAGTTGCCCAACGTTTGCCTGAAACGCTGGCATACGTTTTGCACTTTTGCATGAATTTTCAGACAATCATTAAATCAAAATGATTGAATCCCGAAAAATTTTCTAATCAGGCTACCAATGATCATGCGATTTGATTGTAATCATTCTGCTACATTTCTATGTGACTTCATTCCTCATGTCATTCTTCGCCTAGAATTTTACGTGTTTCAGTCTTTCACGCATACGGCGATGTGTTACGAATGCATGCTGTCGGATCCGTCGTTTATCAGTCTTGCACTGGATTTCTCTAGTAAACAACTACAGCTTCTTCTGAACGCTATTGCGCCAAATTTGTGAAGAGCAATTATTTTATTTGAATTGTTTTCCTTGCGAAACGTACACATTTCGTATTTCATGATTGAAACTTATTTCAGCCGTTATGAGAGTGAGTTACCTGCCGCCGCTCCGCCGCTTTTCGCCGCTTATCCAGAGTTCTACTTAGATGACGTGCTGGATCTGGTGACATTTGCGTTGAAGTAAGTACTTTTCTATCCAGACAGGTGACAGATCGTAAATGGGCTTTGAAAAGGCCGTCTTGGTTTTACATGCTGTAATTTATTGAATGCCAGAGCCATGACGAGATTTTGTTTGAGAATATGCACGTATTTAGACACACTGCTCCCCTTCTTGTTGGTCGAAATAATGATTGGCCAAACCACTTGTTGGTCTTCATCTGTTGCACTCACTACTTCAACAATCCCTTTTTGGCTGCTAAGGTGAAGCTTTTCTCATTCATGATTCTTCTTCTTCTTAACACTGATTATTGTCCCGCTCTCTCTTTCTGTTTTATCTCGCTTTCATTGGCAACTTTCCAAGAAACGATCTGTTCGGTTCGTCGAAGTGGTTATGATGCTCCACCACCTGCCGTTATGACCAGCTGCGACAAAATTATCGTACAAGTAATAAATAGAACCCTGATGGCAAATGGAACAACTTTTTCCAGCTAGTTAAGGTGGTTTCGATTTCTGTACTGATTTCCGACTTGTGGTGATTAATTTTTCTTTGTTCTTTCGTATACATCTGAGTTTTCAGTTTTACTCCGACGCTGAGGCTGGTACCGATTTCTATGAAAAGTTCAGTATCCGACGGAACATTCAAGTGATTTTCCAGTGTCTATGGAACGAAACCTATTACCGGTCTATCATGATCCAGCTTGCTAGGTGAGATTCTTTTATAGTTAAGATTCCGAGTTTTTGCTGTTTCTTCCTTCCCCGGTGCTTATCGCTGACAAATATTCGTAAACAGGGCACGGCACAGCCAGGTGTTGGGGAGAAATCTTTGGATAAATGCGACCCCCTCCACAATTTTCCCTCGCTTCGGAACGGACTGCCTTAAATTTTCTCCTATGGTCGCGGACAAGGGGAGGGGAGGGGTAGACAATTCCGGAGATTCCGGTGCTGGACTCCTCCTATCATCCCATAAAGCTAGTGGTCTTGACACTGCTGTCGATCTTACTGGGGCGACAGTGGTAACAGTGCGTTAAACAGGGAGATGAATCAATCGATCAGAAGAATTTTCCCCAGGCCACAAATACGACCATTTGCCCTTCTCTCCAGCGATCGAAGACCGCTCCGGTGGGGAATTGCAACCCAAGGCGCGCTTTATTCGTGAAACCTAGTTTCCCATTTCACCACCCTTGTTGTACTCTCGGACAGTGGTATTCATTTGACTACACTGACAAGAAGCCCAGTCTCAGTTTAGGGGAGGGGGGGGCGGTGTATTTCCAGTCAAGCATTTCGTACACATCACGAGGAGACCTGTTGATATACACTGGTGTGACACAATACTTAGGAGACCAAAAGCAACTTTCGGCATCACTGTGCTCTACCCAGACAACATAGCTCTATGAAACTTCAATAGTTCATATTCAGAGAGGAACCTTAACGATATTTACAGAAGGCAACAGCTGAATAGAACACTCGGAATAAGACGAATAGCTTATGACATTTTTGTTCAACCATAACAGCCATTAACACCTAAATCTATCGACGATTTATCCTGTACTACAAAGAACACATGGAGGATCTTAATAGGGCTGTGCGGCACCGCGCTACCAGCAATACATGCTCTGCAGCGCGCATCCTCATACTCTCACGGAGGTTGGTCGAATGAGTTCTGGGCCAGGGCACTTCCCTCCTCATCAGCATTTTGGTCGTGCTGCACAAGCCGTCTCCAGCTGGCATCCACCATCGTGCTCGATGGGAATTGTAGGTCGGGGCAGGGTACGGGACGGGCCACTCCATCGCCGGACCATCTATCGTTCTAGAAGCTCCCTCCACCTGTGCTGTTCGATGCGGTCGCGCACTGTCATCCATGAAAATGAAGTCAGGGCCGATTGCAGCTCTGAAAAGACGGACATGATGTAGGAGAACCTTCAATCGCCGCAGTAACGGCTGAAGTGGTGCAGGATTCGATGCTGCACAAATCTGGAGGTCAGCTCACGGCCATGGCAACATGATGCCTCCCCATATCATAACATCCTCGGAACCACAGTACGTATCACGTGTCGACATGTTTCGTGGGAAGTTGACGTGAGTCCACCTCTCGCCATAGGAGGATGCGTCCAGACATCACCTGCTCAGATCTGAACACTGCTCCTCATCCAAAAAGACGCATCACGGCTCCCATTCCTCTCGTCCATTCCCATGGCTCCTAGGCACACCGGTAAACAGCGTCAAAAGGAAGTGCGGCGGGGGTCAAAGACACACATTGTTTATACGTCCGCGGCGATACGAGACCACCACCATAGCATTTCGTCTTGCCCCTGTAGTGAGATGCTTGCGCTAGAGTCCTGTGTAAACGTCGTTGCAATAGCCGAAGCCGACTGACGAGGATCTCTTCTTGCCTGCTGCACAATGTAGCGGTCGTCCCTTGGTGTAGTTGTCCTTGGTCGGCCACCTCCTCGTCTTCGGGCAGCAGTACCAAAGGTTCGGAACGCTCTCCATGCACGTGAAACAACGCGTTCTGTGAGGCGATACCGAACTAATCGGGCCTACACTCGTCATGCGATTCGACCTGCTTCACGAGTTTCCCTTATGGTCTGTCTCGGTGAAGGTCATCCAGATGCTCTCTTCGGACATGAGTTTATCGAAGCAATACTATCACAAGGGTTCTTCTCTACTCGCTCTTGATAACGAAATTCTTTTCTATCGCCCGCCCACGGCTACCTATAGACTGCCTCGATTTGCGCGGTCGGCCATATTTGGCACTTTATTCAAGCTCTTCTTCCACCGAGAAAAGTCTAGCTTCCTGTGCATATCCCTTAGGCGAGTGGCAACATGCTCCCACACTTTCATTTACTTCCACCCAGTCATTAGTGTTTTATGTTACTTTATCCATCTCGTCCCTAAGTTTTGCACACCAGTGTATATTATGAATAGCATGAAGTGATGCCGGTTAAGATGCTCCGTACAGCAGGCTAAGGTCTTCGGAAACCGCTATTAATACTTGTAAAGTAATGAGCACGTCGATGGGAAGAAGCGAAATTGCAAACGGTCCCCCTCTCCCCGTCCGCCCAATCCGAAGTACGCCCTGAAAAGGTTCGGTCGAAAATGTTGAGGGAACCTGAGATTTAATAAAGAGCTTCGAAGCGCTGTTGACACGGTAGCGAAACTTCTCTGAGAAGCGCTAGTTCACAATTAACTTTCACTTACAGAGCCTGCGGCCCTGAGTTCATTCGGTTCATAAATATGGTCATTAACGACGCCACCTTCCTATTGGATGAGAGTCTAGCAGCGCTGAAAAAGATTCACGACGTGGAGCTGATAATGGCCAATAAAGAAGAGTGGGCAGCGCTCGGACGGGAAGAACAACAACAAAGAGAAGGCATATTGGAGGATGCTAAAAGGCAGGTAAGAGTGCCTGTTCCTGAGCAATCCTCTGGTACTGTTATAACTTTCTGATATCTGGAATAATAAGGTTCGCTCGTGGCTGATCTACGCGAAGGACACATTAGAACTACTTGGATACCTGACAAGAGATGCTCCACAACCCTTCGCCCAAGATGTACTTGGTGATAGATTGGCATCAATGCTCAATCATAATATAGCACAACTTTGTGGAAGGAAATGCATGGAGTTAAAGGTAAGAGTTTCGGGTTCTGAAGAAATGCTCATTGTTCCGGGTTGTTTGTTCAACCTAAATTCAGAAAAACAGGCAGGATAGGTTCACGAAAACAGGCGAGACTCCAAACTGAGTGGCGTAGGATCCCTGGCCCAGGAGCTTTATCCTCATACGCGCAGGGCGCGCGAAAGTTCAGGTCAATGACGAGACGTACATCAACGACATAAGCTAATAAAATTGGTTACTTGAACCGGCTTATGGTACGCCGAGTTGTGTGCATCGAGGAGCCGACACATCTAATTTCACGGCAAATTCGGGGGGAGGGAGGTACTGTATCCTGACTGTTTCCTGGGCTTATTATCTTGTGGTTATTCATTACTGATTAATATTCTTATCGGGAATTATGCCGTCACTTTGGGCCTTTTTAGGTCCGCGATGCAGCCGAGCGGTTCCAGTGGGAACCACGCAAGCTTGTGGGCCAAGTCGTCGATGTTCTCGCGACACATTCCGCACGGTTTATTGCTCATGATGCAGGTGGGGTGAACGTACTTTTACCGCGTCAAAGTGACAGCCACTCAATGTGCCATGATCAGCTCTGTGATCCTTAGTGCTGATTCTTCTGGCGCTAAATTACACATCTAGTCTCGGTAAGACATGAAGACCCTTTGCCATTTCTAAAAGAGAAGCTTCTACTATTGCATAGCTATACAGGATTTCACAGCCTTCCTCAGGAGTGGAAGTGCGACACCAAAGTGCCGCCACCGAACCGACCTGCGCCTTTCTTCCAACATACGGTCATTATTCCTGCAAACGAGAGGGCGTTGAAGCTGCGTGTATTGAAGGCAGTCTAAGCTCCTTTTTCCACCAGTGGTTGTGGATTCAATATGGCATCACTGTTGGGAAAGGCGCCCTTGCTGCACGAGGATCCAGCCCCCTGCGCATGCCTTCTCGTATGCCGAGATAATAACTGTACTTGGAATACATGTTGTGTCACTCTTTTTTGAACATATCGCGAGACCGCAGCTCTGCAGGGATCCCCGCATAATTTCACCATTTTTTGCGTCAATAGACATTCATCTATTTTTTTTCTTCACTTTCGAATGAGTAAGAGCACTCAGTGTGCAAAGATGTGTTCTGATAACTTCAGAAAATGAAATAGATGCCAGATAAATTGCTGTATGCCACGCGGTGCGGAAAGTGTTAAGCATTTTCTCACTTATTCTCTTTTGTGCCACTTCCTTGATTTACAAAGAGCCAGCCGCTCATGGATATAAGGAAATGTTTGGCCGAATTTTAACATTTTCACTCATTTTCTCTCTCCCTCTCTCTCTCCACCTTTTCCTTAGTTCTCGCTCTCCCATCTGCCTGCAAATGGTGGTCAGGTGTTGTTATAAGGTTTACGATTTATGAGCGATGTTGGAACGTCTACTAGTTGCACTCACAGGCAGTGGGGTGGCCTCGAAGACATTTAGGCTATGTAGCTTATCGGGAACCAAAGCCATCTTTTTCAGAGACGTTCTGATAAGCTTTGTTTACTCCGCGAGAGCACGCAGACCTTATCAATTTTCGAGTTTTTACTGCTGGTTTAGCGCATCAGCATCAGACCTTCCAGCGACGTGTTCAACACTGTTTATCGACCCCACTTTGGTTCCTGACACCTTGTCAGGACTGCCGTTTCGAATCTTGCCTCCTATTTCTTGTTCATGCTGCAAATGAAGGACCACTTCGGTAAGTTTTTGGCTGGAACTTGTATTTTGTGCCCTAGAGTGGGGAATATTAGACGTTGCTCTAAAGTGGGATGCTACTGTGCTACTTTGTCAGGTGTAGAGGGTAAAACTGACTATGGAGTTTGATCTGTTTTGCTTTCATTAAAGCAAAACTTTTCCTTCAGTGAAGCTTTGAGAAGGCTGATCCAAAGAGGTCCCTAACTTTCCGTTTCGCACGTGCCCTTAGACGCGAAGTGAACAACTCTGTATCCTCTTTGTCTGCTCCTCAGTAAGAGAAAGCAGGAATGACGCGTTCCACAGTTATAATTCAATTATTTTCAAGCTAGATAGAATAATCTGAAAGCACACATTCACACATTGGGTGAATCCCCAGTGGGGGATACGTATTTGGTCTCTGGGCGGAGTGGAGTCGTATTCGTCTTTGAGAGAAATTTGTCGAAAGAATTTTTTCCGTGGTGCATTAAGCATTCCCCCCCCCCTCCCCGCTGAATAGTTTCGAAAATCTCTGTTGAATTTCGACAGGGGTGTGTAGGACTCCAGGAACGTTGGGGATAGGGAAGAAGGGCGTAACAGAGGATCAGAGGACGAAATCGAGGGGTCGTATTTTCCGGAAATTTTCCCCAGCGGCAGGATGTGCCTTGACTGGAAGAGAACTTTACGCCATCAAAGTCGCCTTGAACGGTTACGTGGCTTCTTGAATTTTTGTGGCACAGTCCTGTTGCGAAACTCTTTCTCTTTATGTAGACAGCTAGAGGACAGC